CAGGGCCTCCACACTGAGCCGTATCTGCAGACCTCTTTGTTTTGGTGGTGTTTATTTCTTTGTTTTTTTGTTTTGATTTGGGTGGGCTAGACTGTTTTTGTAGTTTGTTTTGTGTTTGTTTGTTTGTTTGTTTGTTTTGAGATAGGTCTCACTAAATTACTGCTGAGTGGCCCAGGCTGGGGCTCAAATTTGTGATCCTCTCTCCTCAGCCTCCCAGAGTGCTGGGATTATAGGCTTTAGTCACCGATCGTGACCTTATAATAGTATTTAGAGTATTTTGAAGTAGTGAACTAAGGCCAACTAGATTAGTTACTGCTTCTGGCAAAGGACTTGAATGGCTGTTTCTCAAAAGAAGACACAAATGGCCAGCAGGTTTATGAAAAGGAAAAAAGCTTCACATTGCTAATCATCAAAATAATGAAAATTAAAACCAGCATAAGATATTTCCTCTCAACTCTCACAGTGGCTTTTATCAAGAAGAATAGATAACAAGTGTTAACACAAGTGGAGAAAAGAGAGCAACCCTTAGACCCTGTTAGTATAGTAAGTTGGTGGCAGTGTAAATTAGTGAACCATTATGGAAAACAGTATGAAGGTTTCTCAAAAAACTAAAAGTAAACCACTGTATGTCCCAGGAACTCTACTCTGGATACATATCCAAGGGAAGTAAAGGCCGGATGTCAGGGAGATACCTGCACGCTCCTGTTCACTGCAGCACGACTCACAATAGCCAAGAAATGGAAGCTAAGTGCTCATCCATCCACTGATGAGCAGATAAAGAAAATGTGGTGCATGGCGCCATGCCATTCCTTCAGCCGTACAAAAGGAGATCTTGCCATTTGCGACCATGTGGACGAACCCAGAGGACATCAGGCTCTGTGAATGAACTGGATACAGAAACACGTGTACTAAATGATCTGGCTTAGGAGTGGAATCCAAAACACTCACACTCATAAAAGCAGGGAGTGGATCAGTGGTTGTCTGGCGCTGGGGTGAGGATTTGGCTGTGAGATGGAGAAATGCTAGTAACAGGGTGAAAAAGCTGGGTTAGACAAGAATAAGTGCAGGAGATCTGTTGTACACCGTGGGGCCTCGAGTTCATCACCATGTCCTGCGCACCTAAAAAATGCTGGAATAGATTTTACATGTTTTCACTACAAAACATACAAAGGTGGGGTAATGGAGATGTTACTTTGATTTACCACTCCTTAATGTGTATAATGTGCCAAAACATCCTCCTGTACACTGTAAATACACACAGATTTTAAAATACACCTTGTGAATACAAACAAACAGCACAGGTACTATATCTACCTATGTAGCTGAAATCCTGGCCAACTTGCTTTGAACACAAATGAAGACACTCGTGTTAGTCAGCTTTCTGTCATGGCAACAGAACACCTGATAGAATTATAAAGAGAAAAGGATACTGTGGCTCATCATGTTGGAGGTTTCAGCCATGATCAGTTGGCCCTACTGCAGCACTGAGGCAGCTCATCGTGGCAGGAAGGTCTGGTGAGCAAAACGACAAAATCACCAATGTCACCAGCCAGGGAGCAAAGGAGAGGACAGGGGAAGGACTAGGGTCCCACCACATGCTTGGGTCACGGTGCCAAGGACCGAAGGACCTCTGCTAAGCCCCGCCTCCTGACATCTGTCTCCTCAACACACCACTCTCAGGACCAAGCCCTCAGCCTGCGGGCTCTGGAGTGACGCGTAATATCAAATGGCAGCGACACTTCCATGGCTTCACTGCAACTTCCAGTGAGAGGTATTGTGTTAGGAACACACTTGCACCAAATGGATTCATATAGCAGAAAACACAAAGGGATGTGTAGGCATACATAACAAGCAGTGAGACATAATAATCTACCAACCACCTCTCAGTCGGTGAAAGATCAAACACATCCAAGCAAAGATAGGGAGAAATAAAACACATAATTAATAAGTTAAGTCACATTGGTCAATATCCAAGCACAAGTCTTCTTACAATACCAAAACTTTTACATTTAAGACAGTAATGTGCCTGGCTAAATCATTATATTCTCAGATTTCCCTGAATCTCCACAAATCTATCTTCCAAGGAGGTAGAAGAGGTGAGTGGAATTTCTGGAAGCTTCCCTTAAAGAGAAAGCAGTTAATCCCTTTTTCTTCCTCTTCCAGGTAACAAAAATGAACACAATAGTTAAAACTTTAATGAAGACCTCAAAGATAAGACATTAGAACAAGGGCTGAGTTTCTAACAACTTTGCAAAACTACTATACCAGCCCTGGACTGCTTAACTCTAATTTTTTCTTTGAAAAAAAAAAAAAAAAGACAGTATATTTGTGCTACTCTGGTCAACTTTCTTCTGTTTTATGCACCTGCAAGTAATCCTAGTAGATATAATGTTGAAAGCAAAACATACTCACCAAAACTGACCGTATATTTTAGGGCATACACATACACAAACCAAACTCAAGAACACAGACAGAGAGTGTGGCCTAGAGCAGGAAGAGGGCCACCTCTCCTCTGGCACCAGAAAGAGACCAGCTGTCTAGACAGGTAAGTTTGTAGCTGGGCAGAGAAGTCGAGAGCTTTTCCTCCCTCCTCATCCTAATTTCTCCTATGAAGCAGAAGCCAGAATGTGTAAATGAAAGGTAAGGAAGGAAACAGAGAGAGGGGAATGAAGAGGTGCCTGTATCCAAGTGACGTAGGAGAAGGACAGGAAGTTGAAGGGAGCCGCCCAGATCTTGGATGGTTTCTGGTTTTGTTGTGTTGAAAACTTTATTTGCAGTTCTGCCAGGTAGGAAGGGAAAATGAAGCTCAGAGGCTCTTCAGTGAGAAGCTGGTGGTCTAGACGCGCAACAGGAGAGACATCGGGTCTCTTAGGGCGTGGTGCTGGGGAACTAGCCGAGTAGTTTCGGCTTTGCTGTTATTGTTGTTGTTGTTACTGTTTCCTTGGTTACTGTGTGTTCTACAAACCAAATTCCTGTGCATCAAGGACTTAAATATTAGAAAGTTGAAGAGAATTCACAACCAAAGGTTAAAGCGAAATTAAATTAAGCAAATGATGTAATCAAAAGACCCTCATTTGTGCCTACTACTGATTTTTACAGATAGCAAATTAGCACTACTAAACATTTTTCCAGCTTAATAGGAAGCAAAGTAGCTAAACTCTTGAGAGTGGTCTGTGAAACCTGAGAGAGCATCACCACCTGGTGGTAGATTTGTGGTAACTGTTAGCAATAACAGGTAAAAGAAGTAACTGTCCCTGTCATGGATGTCACCCCCTGTGACAGACCAAAGTCAGTGCCAAAGAAGTAGCGCTATATGTAGTGGTAGAAGCACTTAGTTCCCATTTCGTAAAATAACAAAAATGATGCTTTAGAAGTGTGATCTGGAATCGAGATTTCTTACTCTACTTCACCATTGTATGTAATACAGAAATCTTGGCTATAAAATTATCAAGATATCATCTACCACCTTTGTCAAATGCTTACAACAATAAGTTCATTCTCTCAACACTATACTTTGCTTGGGAGGCCGAGCTTCAATTTGAAATAGGTTGTGTCTTTCAACCAGCAAATCTAATTTTATATGTGGATGAAGCATAGAGAAACTCTGCTACATTTTACAGCCTGATTTATGCTGTCTCATTATGTCTTCCCCCATCTCTCTCTGTCTCTGACTCTCTCTGCGTTCTCTGTCTCTCTCTCTGTCTCTCTGTGTGTGTGTGTGTCTCTCTCTGTATGTCTCTCTCATTATAAATACATCCTTTCCTTCAATTAACCTGATTTTTAGATCCCTTTATCATGACTTTTCAGACCTTCTATATCTATTTTTTTGTCAGGGTCTATTTTTAATATAATGCCCAAAATAAAACTGACTCTGCCACCAGAACTTAGGCATTTCCGTCAATGCTACCCATGTTTTCCTTACACAGTTTTGTAGTTGCAACACTTGTGTGCTCGTACTTGACTCACACTTTTCTGGAGTAGCTCCGGCCACAAGGCCACTGGCACACCAAGCTGGGACACACTGAGCAGATTTAAGAGCCGGTGTTTACCTTTGAGCTGCAGTGTATCACTAGCCCACAGTGAATGCTTTTTCTCTGCTTTACAAACTTTTACCATCTTCCTATTCAAAAGACGGGGCGGAGGATGTAGCCTGGTGGTAGAGCATTTGCCTAGTGTGCAAGAGGCCCTGAACGTGTGCTCCAGCTCTACAAAAAATAAAATTAAGTACATCATTGATTCTGTTGATGACCTTTGATGCTCAGACCCAGCCTCCGTGTGGGACAGAGTCACAGTCATACAGCAGGCCTTGAAGAGAATCTCAGTGCAGCTGCTGGGCTGAGGGTGGAGTGCTTAGGACGAGCTCTGCACTGGACTTGGTGACGATGTAAAAGTCAGCAAAGCTGTTCCTATAATAAAAGATAATTGAAAATTTTTGTCTGCAATGTGTTTAGCCTAGGAAGCCAGGAGCTAAATACTGTCCTGACTACAGTTGCAGCTCCTATAGCAGTAATAGAATTATGTGCAGCCTGTAGCAGAATAGGGTCCTACCACTCAGGGAAAAGCCATGGGTAATTCTGGACAAATGTATAATACGCTTCTGTATTAAATATCTATTAATAAGGTAGGTATTTACCATAACCGAGGTTTTTAGCTTGATCTCTCATGCTCTTCTTTCTCAGAATAATGTATATGTCCCCATGAACATGTGATACAGATTTACTCAAAACATTTTTCCTGTTAAGAGAAAAAAGTAAGATTGATATATGTACATTTATATGATCTATGATATATGACATGTATATATATGCTATATGATACATGTACAAATGTATTTATGTATAATGTATAATTTAAGGTGCTATATATGTGGCTACAAGTTAGTCTATACAAAGGAAGCAATGTGAAGAATATATTTTAATAGAAGGAAAATAATTCTTCACCAATTTATTTGTGTCAATGATTACAATATAGTTTGGTCATGTTTTCTTTTTATGTTTCAGGGACTTTGAAGGCAACCATATCCATAATTTAAGAAATCTGACTTTTATTTCCTGCAGTAATTTGACGGTTTTGTAAGTAATGCTTTTTCTTTTTGAAGTGATGGTATATCTCCTTATAAACCATAGATGAGCAGAAGGCAGCCTAAGCACATGCATGAGCCAGAAAGGTGTGATTTCATTCACCCCTTCCATCATAAGAGTCTCTACTCTGTGCCAGCATTCCTGTAGCAAAAGTCAGCTTAGCAAGAGAAAAGCATAGTGGATTTATTTAATCAAAGTTTTGTGTGGCAGAGGAGCCCTTGGAAATAAAAATCCAAAGACCTGGGGAAGAAGTGTCCATTTTTGTGTTTGGGTTCAATGGAAAATGGACAGCGGTGTAGAAATGCAACTGGACACAGGGTCTGATCCAGTGGTAACAGACAGAAACCAGCAGGAGTGCACGGTTCCTTCCTCCTGTGGATGGGCAGGATTCCTGAAATGAGGCTCTCAGGACCTTCTACCAAACAGCGCAGGTCGGGGAGTTCTCTGTGGCCAGCTCCTGTGCTGAAAGATGGGGAGAGGCTAGAGAAATATTGCTAGGTCTTATGGCTTGATTCAACAGGAGCGGTTCTGGTCCTGTGGGCTGCCCTGAGGGAGCAAGGGAGCAAGGAAAGAAGGACAGAAGAGGGATAGAAAGCTCGTGCTTCTGCGGCTCCTCCACGCGCTTAGCTCACAGTCCTTGGCACACCAGAGCACCACACTTTGGGTGTCATCTCCTGAGGCCTCACACGCGCATAGCGAGTGTGTCAAGGTTTTGCTCGGACTTCACATTTGTTGAAATTGAAGGACATGAAGTTCAGAGCAAGGGTACCCTCAGCTTGGAACGCACAGATCGCCACAATGGCACAGTGTCATCTGAGATCTACTTTGCTAAAGCTTCAGTAACATGCAGACGCACTTGCATGGAAAGGAATTCTCACAGAACCAGTCTTGGACCTCGGTTTGCGAAGCACTCAACCAACATCTTGGTCTAGAAGGATGTTTATCTTTTACAAATCATTGCTGCAAAGACTTTTCCTTGATAATTGTAACAAACAAGTTACATTCAAAATTTGAAAAAATAATGAAGAATGCTCACGCCCGTGAGGACATCGTTATGGACACCAGGATAAAGCGCTGGGCGCTGTGGCAGAACCTCCCTGCTCTCTCTGGCCTGTTTCAGATTCCCACTGGTTTTGCTTTCCGTGGAAGTAAAGGACAACGGGGCTTCCTTCGATGTGAAACCCCAGCTCCCCCATCCAGTTTATTTTTCCAGAACTCTTTGCAGATTGTTTGTTAAGACTTGTAAGTAGTGATCAAAGCAGTGTAGCACGATCAGTAGGGCATTCCATGGCCAGCATTTTTCAAATGAAGAGAACTGACCTGGAGAGATTGTATCAGAGTACAACACAGATGATAAGTGTATTGCTTTCATTGGTCTTGGGTTGTGTGTTTTTATATCTCAATATAAAATACATGTTTTTCTGGAGAGATGTGGGGAAAGCTTGAAAACTATCATCCCAGAGCACACAGGCCTGCGTGTACAGACGAGAGAAGAGCTACCATGATGTAAACTCTTTCCTGCAGTTGTCCCTGCGTCCTGATGGGTTCCCAGCCACCGAAAAGTCCGTTGTCCCTGAGTGAACTCAGCCACCTTCACACGAAGGTGCTTCCTGTCACTCACACAAACCCTGTGAGTGGCCCGAAGAAAATCAAACGACACCTAACAACACAGGCCCGGTAGACGTCTGACAACCTTAGAACTCTTGAACTCTTTTCTCCTCTACTCGTATTTACTGGAAGGAAACATCTGTATGAAGAAATCAATTCTGGGTTCCCTCCTGGCAGGTGCCTGTGCTTTTCCATTCCAATTTTACTGGGAATTGAATGAAGGAATGATCTGCATACTGGGAGGAACTAGATATTCAAGGACGGCTTCAGGCTGACTTGGAGGCACATCACACGATGCTTAGGAAGCAGGAAACCTTGAAAGCTTCGTAGGGTTCATCCTTACGCTGGCTGATACAGTAACATGGGGTCAGCGTGGACGTGAGGTGTCAGGGCTGGAGGTGTGGCTCAGCGTAGAGTGTGTGCTGAGTATGCACGAGATCCTCGGTGTTCAACACACACACACACACACACACTCACACACACACTCACACGCGTGCACATGACGGCCAAGAGCTGCAGTCTGATGCTAGAGAATTTCTGAATTGGCCGGGCTTAACTCAGTCTTCCCTAGACAGCCCCACACGAGAGCACGTCAAGTTCCAGTGGGTGGCGGTGCCGTGGGGCGTGCAGTGTTGTGTTAGGCATGCCGTGCAGACCGAACAGATGAGCCTAAAACAGCTCCTTACACGGAACATCCAGTCTGTCTTCTCCACAGTTCAGGTTTTCCCTCTTTTCCTTGCAAAGTTCTTCCCTATTCCTGTAAAGATTTTGAATTATATTTTATTATTATCCTCACTAAAAAGATTTGGGAAATTTCAGGTTAAAATTGAACTGGACAACTCATTGTACTACTTCCAAATATTTTGATCTGAAAATGCACTCTATATTTAGTATCTTTGTCTTCATACACTGCTAATCTCTCACTAAATACATATTGCAGTTAATTCAAGATGGTAAGTTATATTTTTTCTCTTTACTTTCAGGGTACTGAGGAAAAACAAAATCAACCACTTAAATGAAAATACTTTCGCACACCTCCAGAAACTAGATGAATTGTAAGTCTGACTAAACATATGTTAAGAATTTTCTTTCCATTGTTTTATTTTGTATTTGCTTTACATACACGTGTTTATATTTTTTCATTTTATTTTGCATTTATTAGCACATGCTTGAAATATGTAATATGTCCACCTCTTCTGTGGGGTTGGTGCATGTGCAGAACACAGCTTGGCTCCTTTTTCATCTCTTTTCTCTCCATTTCGTTTCATTTAATTTCATTTAGTTAAGTTGACTGGTACAATTTAGGCAGAAGTAATGATCACGTTCATCATGGGGAATTTGTACCTGTACATGATATATCTTGGCTTCTCTTCTGTTTTTCCCATCCCCCCTCCTCCTTTCAACCCCTCTTCCCCTCCTTATTCACAAAGCTTTGTTTCCATTTTTTACGTCTTTTTTCATTTTTTCTTTTCCCTTCCTTCCCTTCCCTTTCCCCCTCCCTCATTCTCTTTTCTTTTGAACAGTTTGTTCCTATTTCATAATATGTGGGGAAAAAGGAACAGTTCCCCACTGTTGGTGGGAGTGCAGACTGGTGGAACCACTGTGGAAATCCGTGTGGAGATTCCTCAAAAAACTAGGCCTAGAGGTTCCATTTAACTCAGTGATTCTCCTTCTTGGTATTTTCCCAAAATAATTAAAAGCATCATCCCTATCTTTCTTGATTACCTTCCTATTTGAGAAACAACTATCTCCTTACTTCCTATGGTCTTTTATTCTGATCTCTATTAAATAATTAGAACCTAGATCCTGCTGTAAGAGCTGATACATGGTAATTCAACTAAATTTTAAGCACATAGAAAATTACTCTCAGTAATAAAGATGCACATAGGTGATCACAAAGCACCATCTGAGAGGCTGGGAGTAGGCTTGGGCTACTTCCATAGTGTGTGCAAGGCCCTGGGCTCCATCCTCCGCCCCAAGGGAAACAACAGCAGCAGTAATGAGGAAGTACATGTGCCAGGCGAGCTGGTGCATGTCCATAATGCCTGCATGCTGGGGACAGAAGACAGGAGGCTTCCAAGTTTGAGCCAGCTTGAGCAATTTATCAAGAACTTGCCTCAGAATAATATCGAACTTTTTTAAAGGGCTGGGTATGTTGCTCACTATGAAGGCTCCTAAATTCAATCCCAAGTATCATAAAAAAGGTACATGTACCAAAAATACTATCCAACTGTTAAAATACAAGTCAGTCAAGGGGTCCATATTTTCCTTATTTGATTCAGCTGAAATCAACACTGAAATCTCGAGGACAGTACCTCCAAATCCTAACCTTCACGGTGGCAGGCAGCTGCAGATCTATGTACCAGTAACCGGCAGTGAACAAACATGGAACCCAATAGCTTAGTGCATAACCAGTGTTCATCCAGGTTCAAGGGCAAGGGGAAGAACTACAGAGGCTCAGGATGGTTATCCAAGCTGAAAACCAGTCCTGACAAATGCCTGCCTCATCCCATGTTAAACTCTTGCCTGAAAAATCAGATTTACAAGGGCAAAAGTGACAAGTTTCCCAGAGATGATGGATCCCAGTGGATGGTTCTATATCTAAACTCTTTTTTAAGGGGCCTGTGCCCCTCTGGGCTCAGACACACCTGGGACACTCATGGGGCAGTGAACACATTGGTGGCAGCTGGATTCACTTGTCACACAAAAATGAGGTGTTTTCTTGTGACAGAAAATCTTTGCCATAGGCTTCCTTTTGTTTGTGGATTGGGGAAATTATTAGGCTTCCTCTTTTATCTCTTGATAGCCTTAGAGAGGTCAAGTTTGCTGAAGTTTTTTCCTGTTTAGAGGAATCCAAGGCCGTTCTCATGAGCTCTGCCACTGTCCAAGCTACCCCAAAAGCTACTGCAGTCAGAAACCTCCTTACAACTAAGCTTTGAGGTCAGATCATGTGAGGCAGACCCACTACACACGAGAGATGGCAGAAGTGACCTGGCAGGGAGCCGAGCAGATCCTGCACTTTTCAGCTGCAAAGGAAATGTGCACTTCAAAAATAATCTTCCCTTTAATGATTATAATAAATATAAGCAAAGAAGAAGTTAAAGCTCCCATTATTTGGTGTAACACAAAAGGAGCAAAAGAAGGAAGGGAAGGGAAGAGGGGACACAATACACACATTAGACACCGACAGGTAAGTGTCAGATGATTTCTCTTATATGAGAAGCCAGAGTATAAACGATTTAAAGAGCAAAATAAAAGATGTAGGACAGGGAACAAGAAGATAAACTATGTGGGGACAGAGATGAGGCAAGACAGGACAGAGTGCGGGGCAGGGAGGGTGAAGAGGAGCAAGATGTAATGTGTCTATGTACCGATTCCCCACCCGCCGTGAACGTCCTTATTGTGTATCGCAAATATGTACTAACACAAAGGGGTTAAGGAGAAGAAAACTGATTCTATTAAAACTAAGTACCATCGAGTGTTTCTCTCCAAGAACTCATGAGGAGGGATGAAGAATTAAAATGCTTTCTGTTTCACTCTTTTATAACCCTTCAGTCTCGGTGGGGCAGAGGGCGGTGCTCAGGGGAGCAGGCACCTAGCATTGTGGGAAGCTGTTTCCACCCGCAGCGTCAGAAAGCACGTTTAGACTTGGGTGATTACGGCAACCCACCAGTGGCACTGCTGAAAAGTTGTAGGGTGGTTTTCTAATGAACTTCAGAACAACGGAATAAAGTCTTCAGAAAATAAGAGGACGTGTTTGCAATTATTTCCGCAGGGATTTAGGAAGTAATAAGATTGAAAATCTTCCACCGCGTGTATTTAAGGATCTGAAGGAGCTGTCACAATTGTAAGACTGGTATTAATTTTACGCTTCATTTCTTTATTATTTTAAAGCTGTGGTGAAATATACACACAATTAACCGCTGAAAGTGTGCAATTGAATAGCGTTCGGTATATTCGCGCGGTTCTGCCGCCGCCACCACCATCCACCTCCACAATTCTTTCATTTTACACAGCTGAAACTCTGTCTATTCAGGCTTCCCCACAATCCCTGGAACCCCAGTTCTACTCTATATCTCCGTGAATTTGATAAGCCTTGGACCCTCCTATAACTGAAATACACAGCAATTGTCATTTGGGGGCTGGCTTGTTTCACTTGGCATACTGTCTCACAAGTTCATGCACGCTGTAGCACATGACAGATTCCTTCTCAAGGCTGATGATGTTCCATAGTACATCTATACAGGGGCTGGGGATTTAGCTCAGCGGCACAGCGCCTGCCTGGCAAGCGCGAGGTCCTGAGTTCGATTCCTGGTACCGGAAAAAAACAAAACCAAACCAAAAAAAAAAGAGCTTTGTCATCGTACATCCTTACAGTGCCACACATTGTGTTCATCCATTCACCAATCAGAGCACACTTGCGTTGTTTCCACCTTGTGGTCATCGTCAATAATGCGCATGTGAACGTGGATGTATAAATATCTGTTTGGGTTTCTGCTTTTAGTTTTTTGAGTCATTCAGGTGTTTGACTTATAGTAAGGTTGTGTCCTACTAACCCCATCATAAACTGAAGATATCATAAGTAAAAATGCACTTAATACACCTAATCTACCAAACCTCGTGGTGTAGCAACGCACCACGCTGTAGAGGGCCTGTTTTTACCCTTGTGCAGTCATGGCTGACCAGGGGCTGCAGCTCTCTCCCATGTCACACCATAGGTCGCTAGCCTGGGAAAAGACCAGAATTCAAATCACAGTGTGTGCTCAAGGCGTGCTGTTTTTACATCACAAACAGAAATACCCTAAGTCCAGCCACTGTGAGATACCATCTGCATTCCTCTGGAAGTAGCTGGACTGTACGGTGATTTATTTTTATTCTGCGCTTACTTCTGTTTCCCATCAGAGTTGCACTACCTTACATTTCCACTAGCAGTGCACATGGTTCTACTTCTCCGTGTCCTCCCCGCATTTGTTACTTGGGGCTTCTAGAGAGTGACCATCCTAATGGGTGTGAAGCTGAATCTCCTCATGGTTCTGATCACATTTATTTAATGGTTAATGATGTAGAATACACCTTTATGGGTTCACTGATCACTTCTGTGGCTTCTTGCAGATAAACCTACTCAAGTCTTTGCCTGTTTTTAATTGAATTCTTTTTGTTGTTATTGAATTTTAGTTCTTTATATGTCTTGAGTATTGAAACATTTTCAGATTTATGGTTTGCAAGTCTTTTCTTCCTTTGCATGGATTCCATTTGCACTCTGAATTACTTGTTCTTTGGTGCAGATGATTTTCATTTTGATATAGTCTGGTTTTTGTATTTTTCCTTTTGATGTTTTTGGTGTCATGGCCAGGAAATCATCGCCACATACAAGGTCATGGAACTGTTTTCCTATGTTTCTTTCTAGAAGCTTTGTAATTTTACTTTTTAGTCTCTCAGTTAACTCTGAGTTAATTTATGTACCTGATGTAAGGAAAGGGTCGAACTTCATTCTTTTGCATCTGGATAACATTTTTTCCCAACACAGTTTCCTAAAAGCACTATTTCCCTATTGAATAAACTTGGCACCCTTCTTGAAAATCATGCATGGGTTTATTCCTGGGCTCTGTATTCTATTCCGCCTGCCTCCACCTTTGACTTCACAAAGTTAAAAACCGGACACCTCACAGTGTACTGTGTTGCTAAGCTATGATGTGTGGCACCAGTGCCACATTGTTTGGTCACTGGAGCTGTGTAGTAAGTTCCGAAATCAGTGCGAGAAACTTTTTTACTCTTTTTCCAAAACTGCTTTGGCTATTGCGGCTTCCCTGGTTTTCCATGTGAATTTCCCTTCTTGGTGTGGTATGGGTCTCCTTCATGCCCTATCACTTAATACCACAGGCTGGCTCACTTACAAACAACAGAAGCTTGTCTCACAGTTCTGGAGGCTGGGAACTCCAAGATCACGCAGCCACATCTAGCGAGGAACTTTGTGCTGCTTCATAACATGGTGGAAGGCATTGCAAGGCAAGAGGTGCAGGACAGAGGCAGAGAGATGGGGCTTCGCGGATCCTTCCGCCAGGAGCCCACACCTGCAGTGGTGGCGTTAATCCAAGCCCTCGTGCCCGGATCGAGCCTAGAGGTCCCTCCTCTTAACATTACAATCTTTAATTTCTGTCTGGTGTTTGGACTGGACATTTACACCACAGCACATGGCTCCTCTGATTTATTTCAGCAGTATTTTCCAATTTCCAGCATATGTAGTTTTCACCTTCTTTGTTAAGTGCTAATTTAAGTATTTTCTTCTTCTAAGTGCTGCTGTGAGTGGGATTACTATCCATTGGTTGTCGTATGTAGAAACACTAGTTCTTTGGTGGTTTTTATCCAGAAGCTAGGCTGGATTTATTCGTTCTATCATTGTTGTTACATCTTTAGGGTTTTCTGCATATAGGGCCATAATATCTGAATGGAAATAATTTTTCCTCTCCTCTAATTTGGTGCCTTTCTCTTTCATCCCTAATTGCTGCAGCCAGAATGTCCTACACTGTGTGGAACAAAAGTGCAAAAGTAGCCACCCTCATGTTGGGGGAGTTTTTGGTGTTTCATCATGAAATATGGGGTTTTTATACACGGCCTTTATTATGTGAGGCCGCTTCTCTTTAATCCTCGTTTGCTGGTTCTCTTTCCTTTCTTCTACTCCAGATACTTCATTGTCATTTGTCCTCTTTCCTTCTTTCTACTACCACAGCTCCCCCAGAAGTTTCTTCCCTGTGCACACACACATATGCATGCACGTACACATGCACACACATGCATGCACATATGCACACAGGCACTCACTAATTTCTAATCTTGCATAAATTTCTTAAAAAGAAAACTTCTTTGGTCTGACGTGGTGGCACACACCTGTAATCCTGGCACTCTGGTTGGTTGAAGGCAGGAGGACTGCAAGTTTATTTAACAACTTAGCCAAACCCTGTTTCAAAAACAAAACAAAATTTTAAAGGCTTGGACGTAGCTCAGTGTAAACGCTCTGGGACCAGTCCCCAGTGTCCCCACGAAAATCTGGGGAGCAGGTGGAAGGCATGGAAGGAAGGAAAGATTCTGACATTTTCTCACTTTCGATACAGTTACAGTTTCACTTTTATTTATGTCTCTTTGTCCCCTGTAATGAGGTTCCTTGATTATATGATAGTTGTGTTTTTAATATTTTGATCAACCTCCACACTATACCCTATATTCCCATATCCTACCAATTCAATCATATCACAGCATTTTTTTTTTCCACACATCTTTGCTAGGACTGGATACTATTCATCTTTATCACAAAGCCCTCCTAACTGGTGTGAGCTGATCCCTCATTGTGGTTTTGACTTATATTTCTTCAATGATCAATGATATTGAGCATTTGTAATATACCTGTTGGCCATTTGTGTGTCTTCATTTGAGAAATGTCTACTTGGATCCTTCCCCTCCCATTTGTAACTGGATTATCTAGAGCTGTTTGAGCTCCTCATATATTTTCCATATTAACTCCTTCCCAGATATATGTTTTGCAAACATTTCCTCCCATTCTGTCGGTTGTCTTTTCACTCTGTTGATTTTCCTTCATTGTATAGAACCTTTTTTAGTTTAATAGAGTCCCATTTGCCCATTTTCATTTTTTGTTGCATATGCTTTTGGGGGCATGTGTGTATATATATATATATATATTCACTCATTCATAACATTGCCCACCAATGTCATGAAGCTTTCTCCCTGTGTTTTTATTCTAGCAGATTTCATGTCAGGGCTGACACTTAAGTCTTCAATACATTTTGAGTATGAAACGCATAGCTAAAAATGCATGCTTGTTTTGTAAGTGTTTCAGAGTAACTCAGTGAATAGATTCGCTCTATTTACTCAAACAATTTTTAAAGATGATCTATTGCCTTTTTTAAAAAAAAAAAACAGGAATATTTCCTACAATCCAATCCAGAAAATTCAAGCAAATCAATTTGATTATCTTGTCAAGCTCAAGTCTCTGTAAGTATACATAGAGGGGGTAGTTTTGTGATAATATTATTATTTCAAGCCAGCCACTGGGGCACATGCATATAAATTTACCTACTGTGAGGCTGAGGTGGGAAGATCTCATGTTTGAGGCCAGTCTGGGAAATTTAGTATGACTCTGTCTCCAAAAAGATAGTTTTTTTAAAAGGCTGGAGGTGTAGCTCGGTAGTAAATGCTTGCCTAACACACATGAGACCCTGGGTTCAATCACCAGTATTTCAAAAGAAAGAAAAAAGAGAGGGAGAGGAAGAAGAAGGAGCAGAACATAGAGAGAGAGTGGGGGCAGGGGAGGGAGAAGGAGAGAGGGAAGGAGGGGAGGAGGGAGGGAGCGAGGGAGAGAGGACGGAAGGGCTACTTCAAAACCAATAATGAACATTTTTTATGATCTTTCAATCAAAATCTTTATTTCTGAGACATTAGTTAAGCTTCACAAAAATAAGCAAAACAGGTGTTTTTGACTAACTGTAAATAAACAGCTATTAATTTCATCTTACATGTTAATAAACTAAAAATTTAAAGATTGATGAATCATCTTCTGTCTTTCTGTAAGTCACCAAGAGCTTACACTGCATTGTTTGCTTCGACTCTGGAAGCTCCTGTACGTATTCACTGCTCCTTTCGTTTTGAGGAGTTGGGGCTTTCTTATAGGCGTCTTTACCTCGAGATGGAATATTCTAGATTATGAAAGCCAAGACTCACTTGAAGACAGAAATTCTAGCAGTCTGAGAATTGTCTTTAAAAAGATAAGCTTCAGTTCATCCAATTTCAATGTTCTCTTGGTAAAATTGCATTTTGTTAAACAGTTTACTTAAAATTATTAGAGGAATTTCAAAGATGTAAAACTCCTCAGCTACAGTGATGCTCCTCAGAAATCGCGCTCATTTGTTTCCTCCGCAAATGTGTGTCGAGGAGCTTGAGCTTTGCATTGTGCTTTGTGCCATGATATGAGATGCCGAAAACTCCCGCAGGGGAGAAACGTTTGCAAATCACACAGGGACAAAAAGAGCGGAGGCGGGAGAGCCTGGGCTGGGGTGAATATTCCATTCAGAATGTGCTATCTAAAAGCATTTTACTAAGTTGTCCTTCCGAGAAACTCATTTTATTATACCATGTGTGACATGTTCCTTTGATTGATTGTTAATTTGGTATTTTAGCAGCCTAGAAGGAATTGAAATTTCTAATATCCAACAAAGGATGTTTAACCCTCTCTGGAATCTCTCTCACATGTGAGTAGACATTTTCAGCCTTTCCCTTGATGTTCATGTGTACATTCCCCTGGGTATTGTGATATGACACATATCCGATCCCTCTGACCTATCCACATTTTCTACCAGTGTACTTGCTACGCACTGCATACCTGCGTGCTGCTCCCCCAGGGTGATGGGATCAGGAGGTGGAGCCCTGGGAGGTGAGGGCTCATGAGGGCAGGGCCTTTCTGAATGGGATCCATGCTCCAAAAGAGATCAGAGACCAGAGACCAGCTTTGCCCCTTGACCACACGAGGACACAGCAAGAGAATGACTGTCATGTGTGAGCAATAGGGCTGGACCCCAGCGGACACCAAATCTAAAAGCACCATTGTCTTCAGCTCCAGCCTCTAGACCTGTGAGAAACAAATGTTTGCAGTTTAAGCCATCAGACTGTGGTATTTTCTTCCAGCAGCCCAAACAGACGCGGCTTACCTCTTAGAACTGTGACATGGGCAGATAATTTTTATTTTCCACGTTCTGGTAGAATTTCATAGATTTTTTTCAATCTCAGGAAGTATTAGAGTTGTGAGAGCCCATCTTTTTTTTCCCAGCAGGAAATGAACCCATGGTCTTCACACCAAGCTACATTCTAGCCCTTTGTTTTGTTTGTTTTGTTTTTGAGACAAGGTGCCCTGAGCCACTAAGTTCCTCAGGATGGACTGCAACCTTCTATCCTCCTGCCTCAGCCTCCTAGAGTGCTGGTTGGATTACAGTAACATGCTACCACATGGGCTTGCTGAGAGCTTGTAATAAGAATAAGTGGAAAATGAGGTGCATTTACATGATAAAGTACTACTCAGACATAAAGGAGGATTCATCTGGGTTATTTGTCCGCAAATAGATGGACCTTGAGATCGTAATGCTAAGTGAAATAAATCAGACACAGGGTGAATAAGTTGTTCCCTCAGTGAAGTATTCTACACTAGCAGAGTAACTGTATGGGTGACAGCCAAACTGGAAAACACAGAGCTCCCATCATTCTGTTGATACAAGCAAAACTTCAGCCTAAGAAATGTAAAATACAGCAAGAGAGCAATCAACTGTCCTTCCACAGGACCTGTGTCACAGTGCACTTACAGACTGAACTCTGATCACCCACTGAGTTTCTTTAAATAAACTCATTTACCTTTCAGAAATTAACAATTTATTTATACTCTCGGACATGTCCTACACATATTCACATTATGTTTATATGCTACTCTCATCCACAATCATTTATGAGAATTAAAGTCTAAAACTGTGCCTCAAATTTTACATCCCTCGGAACCTTATATTATGACATCTTTCTACCAAGAAAATTGCCACGAATAAAGATTAATATATGGTGCCACTGAATTAAATGTAACATCTTTATCTTTTTTGTAAACCAGCTATTTTAAGAAATTCCAGTACTGTGGCTATGCCCCGCATGTTCGCAGCTGTAAACCCAACACAGATGGGCTCTCCTCCCTTGAGAACCTCCTGGCCAGCATCATTCAGAGGGTGTTTGTCTGGGTTGTATCTGCTGTCACCTGTTTTGGAAACATTTTTGTCATCTGCATGCGACCTTATATCAGGTCTGAGAACAAGCTGCATACCATGTCAATCGTTTCTCTCTGCTGTGAGTATTCCTAACCACAGAGGAACTCTAGTTTTGAAATATTCAAAAGCATAGCTATTATATTTTCAAGCATAATTTGTCCATGCTATTGCATGTCCTACACCCAAACTTGCTCCAAGTCTAGAACCAAATTGTTCTTTTCATTACAAACTATATAAAAAACAGTATTGAGAAAATGTTTAATACTTTGTATTGTTACTTACATTTCAAGTGAAGTTCAATTTCCCTAATGAAAATTAGAATATAACTTCAGTGCTAGAATTAGAGTCAGACAAATGATTTTATGAACTTCACATAGAATGTTTGCACAGTCAGAACATCTCAGCCAATTTCTGATAGAAATGTTTGCTTAAAAAATTTACAAAAAGAAAAACAAGTAGGGTATACACACTGAGACTAATCTGGGGATGGAACTGCCTGAAAATAGAAGAAAATGTGAAAATGAGAAGAGAGAATCAGAGTACTGTTCTGTAGGGCAGTTTCCCGGTGACATCCTTAGTTTGCTGAACAGGAAGAACTTCAGCCGAAGAGCTGAGTCAGACACCGTTGCCGTCTGTGTCCCTACCTGAACGTTCAACATAACCACTTCTATGCATTTATTCTACACTTCTTGGTGATACGTGTAGAATGGAGAACAGAGACAAGATCTCTGCTCTTTCAGACTTGAGGACTTCCATTTTCAAGGAAAACTGAGGGTGATTGCATAATTCAGGAGAGTGTGGTGAGGCTGCTTACCAAAAGAGTGAATGAGGGGCTGGGGATTTAGCTCAGCGGCAAAGCGCCTGCCTGGCAAGCACAAGGTCGTGAGTTCGGTTCCCAGTACCGGAGAAAAACAAACAAACAAAAAAAACAAAAGGGTGAATGAATAGGTCCTCATTGTTAAGTAAGGGTCTGTTTATTTCTTTATTTGTTGTTCTGGGTTTGGGATTTTTGGTTTTTGGGGGCTTTTTTGGTGTAGTACTGAAGAACAATCCCAAGGCCTCATGTATGCTACACATACTGTCTACCACTGAGCTACATTGCATTGCCAGCCCATTAATTCTTAGAAGAATAAAAATTATTTCCTCCTAAGGTAAAAGAAACTGGGCCTTTTCAGTATGAAAGTTATTATTGTTTATTGATAATTCCATCATGCCTAGGTGTTTCTCTAAATTCATGAAATTTTCTGGCCCCTGTAGGTGCCGACTGCCTCATGGGAGTGTACTTATTTGTCATCGGGGCTTTGGACCTCACGTTCCGCGGAGAATACAATAAGCACGCACAGCTGTGGACAGAGAGTACGAACTGCCAGCTTATGGGCGCTCTGGCCATTCTCTCCACCGAGGTTTCAGTTCTACTTTTGACCTTTCTGACTCTGGAAAAATACATCTGTATTGTGTATCCTTTTAGGTGTTTAAGGCCTCGAAAATGCAGAACCATTACAGTTCTGATCCTCATTTGGATTGCTGGGTTTATAGTGGCTTTCATTCCGCTCAGCAACAAGGAAGTGTTCAAAAACTACTACGGCACCAATGGAGTGTGCTTCCCTCTCCATTCAGAAGATACAGAAAGTACTGGGGCCCAGATTTATTCTGTCGCAATTTTTCTCGGTAAGAAACTTTAGATGAAAAAGCCCTTTCATTCAGACGCTGAGACGACTCATAATAGAAAACTCATGTCTTCTAAAGTTTACAAACTTTTATTTCAAATCTTTTACCCATTTTTTTTTTCTCATTGAGAGTGAGATGAATTCTATCAGAATCCCCAACGGATGTTTTCCCCTTAATAACTGCTTTATCATATAAATTCCAACCTGATAGACTCAGTAAAACACTGATCACTTGTATTTCATGTGTTAACCCTAAAAATAAAAAAACAAACTATACTTTGGCTGCCTGATAAAATATGAGCATAATTCATAAAACAATATGAACATAAGGTGCTTATTATCTTTCCAAATGCATGTGTGTAGCCACACATAGCTTTCACCCAGGAGTACACATACAGCTGTTCTAAACCAGCCGTGAAAAAGTCTCAAAATGCAGTACAAAGTAGTTAAATTATTTTAAAAATCGCTAATATTAGAAAGCATAGGGCCCAGAGTATTTTGTACCTTACTATAAATTTATTTTAATGTTCAGTTATAAAGTTAAGTGTCTCATCCTTTTCTATGATTTCAATAATACTTTAACTCAAAAGAATTCATGGTGTGCTAGGGGCGTAGCTCAGTGATGGAGCTCACTTGCTTAGGCACCAAAGACCCTAGGTTCCATCCCCAGCATCACCAAAAAAAATAATTTCTGTGCAACTTAAGAATCTATATGAAATATGAAAAACACGTATTATGGCATTTGAATCCTTAATAATAACACCTTAGGGGATGCTCTATTTATTTGCTTGTTTTGAAAGCGTGTCCCTAGACATTGTTAACATCCCTTTTGTCCTAACCAGGCGTGAACTTAGCGGCGTTTGTCGTCATTGTGTTTTCCTATGGGAGCATGTTTTACAGTGTTCATCGAAGCACCAGGACAGCAACTGAAATAAGGAATCAAGTTAAAAAAGAGATGATCCTTGCCAAGCGGTTTTTCTTTATTGTATTTACAGATGCATTATGCTGGATACCCATTTTTGTACTAAAATTTCTTTCACTGCTTCAGGTAGAAATACCAGGTACAACTTCTGTTTCTTTCTGTAAAGAAATACTTTGCTTTCACAGTACTCCTCCGAGGAACACAATTAAAATTCTTAACACTAACTAGTTTCAAAAATTATAAGTCCAAGTTGTATGGACTTTAGACTCTGTCATCAATAAATGTTTACTGGCAGGAAGTTGTTTAGTTCTTTATATTAATGCTAAATAACACAATTACTAGTGGAGCAAAAGAACAATAACCAAAATAAATAGTTTGTAGTGCTATTAGAATGGAGACTAAGTCAAAATTATTATTGAAGAAATTTCAAAATGTAAGAAGTTTTCCTCTTGGAAAATATTCAACTGAGAAAACATTACAACAGAGTATGAGAGGTAATAGAAGAAAACACTCATTATTTAAAAAATAATGTGTGTTACATCCCGTAGGGTGGTTAGTATCTTACACACATAGCTAGGGTGTTGACACACACCTGTAATCACAGCACTAAGGAGGCTGAGGCAAGAGGACTGTGAGTTGGAGTCCAGCCTAAGATACAAGCAGACCCCATTTCAAAGCCTAAACAAAATGCCCCCTCACATAGAAAATGAAGTGTCAGCTAGAACATGGAGAAATTGGGACATTTGTGTATTCCTGTTGTGAATATAAAATGGCGTAGATGCTGTGTGAAATAGGGTAGTGGTTATTCCATCAAAAAATTAAATAGAGTTCAACCCAGCAATTCTACCTCTGGATAAATTACCAAAGGATTTGAAAGCAGCAACTCAAGTAGATATTTGTACGCACATATGCATAGCAGCATTATTGACAATACTTAAAGATGGAAAAAATATAGTGTCCGTACACAGGAGAATGAATAAACAGAATGTAGTATACACAACACAATGGATTGTTACCCAGCTGAATAAAAGCAAAACACTAACACATGCAACAATTCAGCTAAGTCTTGAGGACATTATGCTAAATGAATGAGTTAGACACAAAAGGGAAAAAGTTTTATGATCCCTTTTCCATGCAGTTCCCTGGACCAGTCAAACTGACAGAACATATAATGATGGTTGGTAGGGGCTGGGGCAGGGCAAAATAGAGAATCACTGTTTAAGAGGTATAACTTCACTTTGGGAAGACAAAAAGTTATGAAGATGGATTGGTGATGGTTGTAAAACACAGTGAGTGTACTTAATACTACTGAATTGCACACTAAAAGTTGTTAAATGGGGAGCTGGGTGTGTAACTAGGTGGTGGAGCACTCGCCTAGCACATGCAAACCCCCAGGGTCAACCCCCTGCACCAAAAAGAAAGAGGTTAAAATGGTAAACTCTATGTTGCACATTTTTGCGCAATAAAGAAATCAGCAAATGTCCTGTTGATATGTATAGCAATATTTACATTTTAAATGTATACGTATAAAATTATCATGTACATATATTATTACTTTTATATTATTATTATTATTATTACTATTATTTTGTGGTGCTGGGGACAGACCATGCACACTATTCTATCTCTGAGATATATCCTCAGCCCCTAAGTTGATTTTTAATCGAGTTTAGCCAAAGAAGTTTTCACTGAAATAAATATTGGTCCAAAGTCTAAAAATGCATACCTACTTTTAAAATGAAATAAATATCAGGAGAAAATATCCACTGAAGACAAGCCTGCACATTCTGAGAAACATTATATGTATCATGTACTTGTTAACACATTTGGAAAAGGTATGATTTAAACACTAAACAATATGGTTTTCTTATATTGCAATCATAATCCTCTATCATTACTTTGTGGAAAACATTTCTACTGAATGGAATACTCCTGAAGATGTAGTCAGGAGAAGCTACTTTAGCTAAGAACCCTCCGCACTCCCCTCAAACACTGGCTGTCTGAGAAGACACCCTGGGAAAATGGAGAGCTGGTATTAAGTACATGACATCAAAGGAAAAAATTAAGACTCAACAATGGGCTAGGGCTGGAAGACACAGGAAAGGGTTTCTATCCTTGTAAACACCTATACACACACAAACTATTTCATTTTTCTCTTCCAGGTACAATAACCTCTTGGGTGGTGATTTTTATTCTGCCTATCAACAGTGCTTTGAACCCAATTCTTTATACTCTGACCACAAGACCATTCAAAGAAACAATCCACCAATTTTGGTACAACTACCGGCAAAGAAGGTCTATTGACAGCAAAGGAAGTCAGAAAAAGTTCCTTCCATCATTCATATGGGTAGAGATGTGGCCATTGCAAGAGATACCCCTGGAGTTCAGGAAGCCAGCTGCTTTGACCAACCCCTGTGAAGTATCACTGGTTTCTCAAACAACTCAACTCAATTCCTATTCATAGCTGACTCAAAAGCACATTTCTTCACAGACAATACAGTGGGGTGCTCCAGGAGGGATTTCTGGGCATGAAATAAATACCATAAAATTAATAGTTTATAATAATGGCTAAGACAAATTAGCTTACAGGGACATAAAAGAAACAGCAGTTAAAGCTTATTTAAAAGAAAGTAATTATAATTATAAACATAATGTGTACATGTAAGTATATATTTTGCATAAGAAATTAAGATAAATCCACCTCAGAGAGGTTAACTTGTTCTTCTATCATTCCTTTATGGAGCACCCACTATGTACATTGCATTACAGTAGATCACGGAAAACAGGCAGCATGGAAGGAACCTTCTCAGCCTGTGAGTTGTGCTCCACTACAAAAGACAACACAAAGTCCATCCACTGAGCCTATTTTAAAGTCACGTCTCATGTGGCATGCGTATCAGAGAAAATATGTCTGCAAAACACAAATATTCCATTTTAAGAATTCTTATCTCTCTTCAATCTCCATACACCTGAAAGCCAGTACAACATATTTGCTACTGTGAGCAAAAGATACTTTTCTACAAGCCCTGAACAACATCTCAGTCACTTCTTGCTCAGTTTTCTCTTTGCTTCGCATCCTCCTACGGAATTAGGACAGCAGGGGTACTGCAAAGGAGCAAGCCAGAAAGTGAGAATGAAGATGAACATTTAGATCAGTGGAAGAGAACTGAGTCCGGAAATAAAAAAGCAGGTTTTCAGTCCATCAGCTTTTAATGAGGGTGCCAAGATCACCAAAGGAATAAAGAATGATGTTTCCAACGAATGATGCTGAGACACCTGAATATTCACGTGAAAAAGAAAAAAATTGAATGCAAACTTCACATAATCTACCAAAGTCAATTAAAATATAAGAATCAAAATATAAAATTCTTAGAAGAAAACATAATGGCAAATCTTCAACACTGGATTTTCCAATAAATTCATAGATCTGATACTAAAAGCATGAGCAAAAAAGGAAATATAAATAAATTGGGTTTCTTCTAAATCAATTTCTGTGCATCAAAGGAGTTTATTAAGAGAGTAAAAAGACAACCTACCAGGATATGAGAAATAATGCAAGTCTTTTCTCTGAAAAAGGTTTACCAGATAGAATATACAAAGAACTCTTACAACACAACATTAAAAAAATTTAAATAGACAAAGAATTTGAATAAGCATATATTCGAAAAAGTTTTACAAATGACCAATAAGCACGTAAAAATGTGTCTCACATAACCTGTCATTCCTGAAATCTAAATTAAAGCCACAATGTGAAAACACTTCTCACTTGGTAGAGGAGATTATTATCAACAAATAAATGTTGGAAATGTGTAGACATTAAAAGCCTTATCCAGTGCCAGTGGGGATGTAACATGGTGTGCCACATAGAAAAGTTTGACAGCTCTCAAAAAAATAATTAAAAATATAATTCCCATGTGACCCAGTATGTTAGTCACTTTCCTGTCACTGAGACAAGATATCTGACACCCAAAATGGAAAAGATAGGTTCATTTTGGTTCATAGTTTCAGTGGGTTTGATCCATGGTCAGCTGGCTCCAAGGCAGAATCAGCATGGTGGAAGGACTGGTAGTAGAAAGCTGCTCAATCCATGGCAGCCAGAAAGGACAGAGGGGAAGGACAGACCTTTCTAGGTCAGGACCCCACTGACTGGCTCACTGCCTACTAACGCATTAGGCTTTGAGCTTGTCAATGGATTTGTCCACTAATTAGTGTAGGGCCCCCACGACCCACTCACAATCCAAAGGCTCCACTGTGAGCATGAGGCTTTTGGGAAACATTCTGGACCTAAACCATAACACCCAGAGATTTCACTTCTAGAAATCCAAAAGAGCTGAAAATAGGACTTAAACATGCTTTTGTGCAAATGTTTACTGCAGCATTATTTGTAATAAGTGAGGAAAACAACCCAAGTGCCCGGATAAGTAAACAAAATATGACATATATACACAATGGGATAGTATTAAAAGAAATTAAGTTCTGAAAGATACTACATGAAAATGTGATACATGGTAAACATAAAAGGAAAAATACTGTACAATTCAATGTATGTGACATATCTAAAATAAACACATTCATAAAGCTAGAAAGATTAGTGATTACTAGGGGAAAGAGTGGTGGCTAAGAAGGTGATGATCGATTCAATCAGGTGATCATTATGGGATTTTAGAGTTGTCAAAAAAGCAATGTCAAGAGTGAAAACTTGAATGTTATGAAGATACTAGTACATTGGTTTTGGGTAACACATTATTGAGTTCTCCATAGAAATACAGATCCACGGGGCTGGGGATTTAGCTCAGTGGCACAGTGCCTACCTGGCAAGCATGACGTCATGAGTTCGATTCCTGGAATGGGAAAAAAACCAAAAAACAAAAAAAAAAAAAGAAAAAAAAGAAATACAGATCCAGATAGATATATAGATATAGATGACATCGATGATATAGATAATATAGATATAGGTGATATGGATGTCGATATAAAGAGATAAAGTTAGAGATAGAGATAAATATAGATATAGGTGATACAGATATAGATTATAGATATAGATATAGATATATGGGATAATGCAAGTAATTAGCTTATATGATTATGGCAGCTGGCAATTCTAAAATCTGCCAGTTCAAATCCAAAGGCTGGAGGGTTGCTGTAGAACCAAGAAGAGCCATTCTCAATTCAAAGGCTATCAGGCAGAATTCTTTCTTGCTAAGAGGATGGGCAGCCTGTAAGGAGAACTCACAGGGGGGTCTTAGCATTGCATTAAGCCAATATGTAAAAAGGAAAGAATACAAAGAGCTCAGAACTTGGAACTTACAAAGTAAGTGAATGACAGACATTGCGTTAGAAATATTAATACATGAAGGAAAAGCTAGACCATTGCAAAAAGTAAACCAAGATCCTAAAATAATACAAAAAGAAAAAAAAAAATCTCAGTTGGATTAGACACTTACATGTTAAAAAGTATTTTAAACTTTTGGAAAGACAAATAGGATGTATCTTTATGACACTTCCTATACAAAACCCAGAAAGAACAAACCATTATGAGATTAGTAAGAATATATTAAAAATAGAAATCTTTATTCAAGGAGACTGCATAATCAAAGTACAACAATCAACCACACTATGAAAGACTGCTGAAATATGTGTAACATCATTAATATGCGAAATGCATATTATCTACAAAATGACAAGGAAAAGATAAAATAGAGAAGTGCTTTAAAAACACGGCCTCAGAAATCACACGCTTCATTGCCTCAAAATTCTGGTGGTTACAGTCAGCACGCTTCAGTGTAGGTGACGGTTACACACAACCGGGAGTTCCAGGAGAGAGGAAATCACTGAGCCATCCGCATGCTGGAGAACAAATACATGAAACAGCATTTTATAGTGATTTAAAAACATACACACATGTTAAAAATATAAAAACACAAAGAAGGGAGGTGAGGTGGAACTTAGTGCAGGACATTTATTTGGTGAAGCACCTGAGTTTAGTCTCCAGCTCCCCAGCACAGCAAAAAAGCAAAACACAAGCTACCACATAAAGGCATACATACATAGATCTGGAGAAAATACTGTCAAATAGTCATTAAATCTGCATGGTGGGAATTGGTGTGTGCTTTTTAAATCACTCACCTTCCTATATGTTTGAAATATGTAAATAAAATTATGTTTCTAGTAAGTCTATTGTTGACATTTAAATTTTTTTTTGTTTTTTGAAAAAAGATCTCACTATGTAGCCCAGACTAACCTCAAACTCGCCATCCTTCTGCCTCAGAGTCCAAAGTGCTGGGATTATAGGCATGTGCCATCAAGTCTAGCTAAAAAGCTACAATTTTCAGGACATAATCATATAAGAAATCTATTTTATAATACTGAAGTAAGCATCCCTTTGGAGTAGAAATCACATCATATGTGTGATCTTTAATTTTAAAAAAATTAAAAAACTATGATATTCTTAACAAAATTACTCTTTACCCATCCAATTGAACCCTTTCATAACCCCTTTATGGGGCTTTAAATGTAATTCTCTGCACATCTCTTTATCTACACAGTTAAGATGCTACACAGAATTAGAGATGTCTAGAAGTTATATATAGTAGATCATTAGTTGATTTATTTGTTGACATGTGACACAAGCTACCAAAAGAACAACATAAGCTAAAGGAGTTGTAAAATAAAAGGTCATCACCAAGGTCAAATGATATGGAAACAATTATATATTTAAACATGATGCATTAGGAACAGAGTATTATGTAAATAACTTGCAAATCTCCAAAAGTAATAGCATAAAACCATAAATCTGACAAGGCATTTTAAAGACACCAATACATAAATTATCAAAAACGTGAAATGTTAACTGTGCAACTGATACAGGAAAATAAAAACTCCCAACCTGAATGATATCTGGGACAAGTTCGTGTTCTCTAAAATCAAAGAATGAATTTTAGGAACAACGGAGGTTAAGAGCAGAATATGTTTATTGAGGGAAAGAAAGCTTCTGTCCAAGAGAGGACAGAGGGGCCCGAGAGGGTTGCCAAGGACCTTGCTCTTCCCAGGGACTTTATAGAGCAAAAACCCCAAGGTGAGGCGGGTCCAAGATAGGGGGAAAATGGGAAATTACAAGGTGGGCATGAGGTGGGACAAAACTATGGTCAGCTAATAAGGTTAGAAATATAATAGTTCAGGTTAAATTGAGTAAATGGGGATCAAATGGGGAAGTGAGTCCAGTAGAAAGGGGGCATGAATATAGGACAAGGCTTTTCCTGTAGGGGGTTGGGCTAGTGAGTGTTTCTGGCTTTTTAAAGGTGGTTGTTACTTATTTAGAATATCAATCTCTTATGTTCACACCCAGGGAGGTATGTGGGTGCATTTGTTTAGTCCTTTTGTCTTGAGGTCAGGCCCACAGGTATTTTATCTTGTCTTTCATGTTGGCTCCTTCAGGGGCCTGGCCCTATCTGACCGCCTATAAAATTTTTATCTAACTCACCTGCCTATAACAAAACCAGTTAACATTAAAAATGCTGCTTCTATTTGTTAAATAAGTTAAAATATGTATTTTTCTAAACAGACTTTCCTTTTCTGAAGTAAAGGGCAAAAAATACATATTTTTAAAAGCTACTATAAAAATTCAAATCCTCATTTAAAAAAGTTTCCCTTCAAGTCAATGACGTTCTGATTCATACATTTATTTTTAGAAAAACAATCTTCAGATTTAAAAAGTAGAAAGAAAAAATAGCTTTTAATTATATTTGTCAGGGTTCTATTTGACACACATTTAGTGAGTGCTGTAAGGCGCACTTCTGAGGTGCTGGGAATACAAAAGTAAAATGCAACCATTGGTTTTAAAGAACTTAGCCCAGTGGAACTGAACCAACCACCAGCGACTATAGTCACCTCCTTTGGTCCATAAAATGAAGCCTAACTTCAAACACTGCCCCTCTGGGCACTTTCTTGCAAAACAATTACCTACTTTGCCACTGGTAACACTGGGGCACTATGCATATTAATTATTTACTGATGGAATTAACTTTCATAAAGGCATCTGCAAAATTTTTGACAGTGGAAAGTATTTAAGGATAAATAAGGATTGCTCACCACCAAAAAATAACATTATCAGTATTCTGCTTTCACAGATGTCATGGAAACTGTCATTCCAGGAATGTAGGCCTACCGGAAAGAGGTTACACTATGTATGTGGCGTATGTGCAAACAGTACTGAGGAAGTGTGAAGCATGCCAGCAGGCATGATTTACACTGCCAGGCAAACCACATCAGTGGTCAGGTTCAGGGAGTCTTAACCTTCCCTGGGGAGGCCCGGAGATGTCTTAACAAAGCATGTATTTTCTGTACCCTTGAGGGCAAGCTCTTCCACTTGAGCTGATACTGCAGATGTGGCCTCAAGAAATTCAGTTAAAAGAATGTTGCCTGCTTTCAAAAAAATAAAGTCAAATGGAAGTTAAATTCTATTCTCACTTGATAGTCAAAAACTAGATTATAACCTAAATCCAAAACCCAAATTATTTTCTTCAAAAGTAATAGATGTTCAAATGAAAACACAGGCTCATTCAGGAAACCTAAGAAATTCTTTAACCCAAGGTCTCAAACATGCTAAGCACATGTTCTACCACCAAGCCATACTACAGCCCACACCTTGAAATACTTTAATATTCTATAAGCATAGAGGAAATATGTCTGCTAGAACAATACTCATAATTCAGTATTTTGTTTAACTGGAAAAACACTCTGGAGGCTCATTTAGGTCAAGAACTGAA